GAGAGAGAGAGAGAGAGAGAGAGAGAGAGAGAGAGAGAGAGAGAGAGAGAGTAGATGGATGGACGTGGAGTTGCAATTTTCTTTGTCTTTCTCAATCTTGAATATAAGTTTTGATTACGGCTTGGGCAATTCGCCCTAATTTCCTTTCGACATCTTTGTCTCAATGTTGTCCCTCGTATGGTGTGTCATTCGTCCTCGAGCCTTCCTCCCTTTTGTGTATAGTGGATGGACGAGTTCTGATGGAATGATATGCTTGCCGTTTTTGCCTTATCATCAGCGTTGCTGGTCATTTAAATCTGTTGATGTCATATTCTTGTGGTGGTTGATGTGTGCGATGTCACTTGGCATGATCGGAAATGATTGTTTGCGGGATTACAAAATGATTGTTGGGTGATTATGTATGCCTTATGGAGATTTTGCATGTAGGATTGAACTCGCACTTTTGCACAAGAATCAGCCAACAGGACTGTGTACGACCAAACACCTCGTGTGCGCACGTGTAAGCGCGATCTGATCAGCGCGGCCTACACGGGTCCCCAGGCGGGTGATTCACGGCCACTAGCGAACTTGGTATTTCCTGGGAGGAAGAATATCTTAGGCTGAGATACCCCGAATTCCCCTGTCTAACCGAGAACCGACGGTGCGTCACGGACTTTCAGTGTGCTGTAACCAACGACCCGAGGGCTCCCGACTACCCGACTACGTATAACGCGCAATATTTCATATCACCCGGCTTCGTCATTATCGCCACCAATTTCCCTGCCTTCCACATCCTCCTCGCATACCACCAGCTCGTGGTGGTTCAGTGGAACTTCATAGCCCCTTACTGGCCCCACACGCGGTTCAGAAATTGTAGATGATGCGGCAACCGCCGAGCCTCTGGAATTACGGAACCTAACCATAACACGTGACGACAATCACCACGTGTCCCCACCCGGAGGTCCGACTCATAGAAATCGCAACCCTCACAGACGGGCCTCTCCCGAACCGCCGCCACAAAAACCGACGGATCGGACGACCCTGGATGCACCGCGCATGTCATCTGGATTATGTTGCACGACAACGACCGCCATCAGACCAAAATTAACCCGTCCCTTAGCCTTATTGCACCTATGCATCTGAATCCCTACCACAGGAGATCTTAGTTTTGACCTGGGACTCCACCCCCACTTTTCCAAAAATCCTTCGCACACCCCCTTTCGCACTTCCAGGCCCACATCCCACTCCGATCTGGAAGTCGGGCTGGGCGTGAGGTTGGTATTGGAGCCGAAACGTGGCAGGGTTTTAGGATTTGTAGGGCGAAGCGATCTGGCTAACAAAGGGCGACCTCGACCTCGGAATGCGCATCGACGTGACCCCGTTGTTACAAGAAGCCGGTCTGCGGCTCGACGGGCAGCCGACATGAACGCTAATCAACAGAACCCGAACCCACAACAGAACCCCAATCAGCAGATTAATCCTAATCTTTATTTGTTCGATCCCGCTCATCACCTTGCTAGAGCATGGCTGGCCACGCTGCGAGCTCAGTTGTACGATGACAACGAGGCACAGGTAAACATTCCCGCTCGATTGGGGGAAGACGCTCATCATTGGTTTAGCACCTATGTATGGGTTGATCACCTGAGATTCGAGCGTGATTTTTTTAATCCATTCGATTATATTCATCTGGAGCAGGCTCTTCTTATGATCAAAGACTGAGTTAAAAAAACCCTCGATTCTGTCACCGAGTACCAAAACCGATTCTACCGAATGTTTGTAAAAATTGAACGAGGAGAACAGTTAGGTAGAGATTTGTTTATTGACGGGCTTCGCAAACGAGCGATGAGGGCGAAACTGCGAAAACAGTTCTCCCCCATCAATCACACGCTGCAACAGATCAGGGCAGCCGTAGAAGGGATGAAACAAAAATTCGCCGCAAGTTTCCTAGAAGGAGAAGATTATCCTAGGGAAGGGGACTCGTCCGAACTGGCGAGAGCTAAAGCCGAGCTAGCTGCGCTGTATAATAAGTTCGAAAACATGGGATTTGTGTCTGGTCCTGTCACCTATCTGGAGAAGATTAGCCCCAAACGACCAGCCCCGAGTGTGATTACGGGCATGCCAGTTCCCGTGATGATGACACCTCCACCTCCAATCGAAGGTCCCACACGACCGAATCAATCAACCGCCTTATTGGAACTGACCAAAACACTGGTCAATTTGATCCAAGAACACAAAAAGGAACAATGGGAACACAATGCTCGAATAGAGGCGATGATGAGGTCGATGCGACCGATAGCGGTACGTGCCGCCCCAATTCAACACGAGCTGGATCCAGCACCCACTCTTGGAGGGGCTACTGGTAACGTGAACATTTGTTACACGTGTCACCAACCTGGGCATATAGCCCAGAACTGCCCTCATCGACCCCCACAACCACGGATCGAAGCTGCACCGGTAGCAGCAACCCCGATCGCTAAGGGGCCTGGACGGGTAGGAGCGTTGATGGAAGAAACAGAAGGAGGAGGAAGTGCAGTAGCCATGCGGAAGAAGCCGCGGAGCTCATTCCGTTGGATCAATACGTAACACTTGGATATCCGGGATTAGGCATGATCGGAATGATCCAACCCGCACCCGAACAGAGAGAGCTGGCAGAAGGGAGACCGTCTCCAGGAGAAATGGAGTCGGAAGGACCCACCTTTGTCACCGGAGAAATCGACATTTTGAACATTGTATAGGCACTAGATCACCGAATCCCTCTCCCAATCGGTCATCTATTATCGATATCGGAACAAGCCAATGAACGCATGTGGCAACACAGCAAGGCGAATCGAAAGCGATTTGCCCTTGCTTGAACATAAACACGAAAGGAAAGAGTCCAACACAAGACGAACCCGTCACTAACACATCAGATCCGATACTCTTGGGATTGATCCAGGAAGATTATCACTTCCTGTGGATTAAAGCGATTCCGTGGAAATCGACAGAATGTGATATCGAGGTATGGGGAGTCCTGTACAATGCCATTATCGATTCCGGGGCAGCTGTTTTAGCTATCTCGTTACGAGTGGTCGAAAGAGCAGACAAAAAAAAAGATTTGATTATGCTTACGGAGAAGGATCAGCTCGTCTCAGCGAATGAGGAAAAGATCAAAATAGTGGGACGAATGACCAATGTTGCATTTCGATTGGGTAAGGTGCATGCTCTGGAAGATGTCGTAGTGTTAGACATCAACACTTATGATGTTCTTCTGGGTTTGCGTGCTCTTACGGCTCTACGAGCCAACCTGGACTTCGAAAGACGATCGATTATCCTCCGAAATACGGGAGGAAAACCTTACGCCATGCTGATGAGATTGACCCTTCGAAGTTCGTACTACTGTAGCTTCGCAGGCTCCTCAGGTAATGACAGGAACTCCTCGCGTGATCATCTTGGGAAACTCGGGGAGAGATGATCAATCATCGAAGGAGGCGGACAGTAGTGACGAGGATGATGCGGCAATTCTAGTGCAACGAGCAAACACAAAACCTTTAAACCTGACGGATCGAAACCTGCAAAGGACACAAGCAATGATTATGGGAGAACGTCTCGTACAAATATCAAGGATGGTCGATTCTTTGGAATTCCCTCGAACCCTGTACGAAGGTATCTCCCCTCTCCTTGCGTGATACAATGACAAGAGACATTTCTGCGACATCACGAGCCTCCTGCGATCGCTTTTGCCACCACCGAAAGAAATACGATTGCTACGCTTAGGGCGGAGGCCAACTCCTTGGAACCCCCTGAGCGCCTCGAAACCGGACTCGGGATCAAAATCGCAACGAAACCCGTACCATGGTAGGATATTCGCGCCGGAGTAACCACGGAGGAACACGTGGCCATTCGAGAGCAGGACGCACAAATGATGGCCACAGTATTCTCTTGGCGATCGGATAACTCGTTTATTTCTGCACCCCCCCCTGAAATCACTAAGCGGGAAAGTACGAAACAGATCGATGTACGGATATGGGGTCAATTGTACGAGTTGCACGTTCCCTTCTACGTACCTGATGAGATCCATCACCTAATCGTGAACATTCTAAGAGAATATCAGGAAGCAATTAGCGTGACTGACACGGATATTGGACCATATGTAGTTATACAACACAAAATCCAAACCGAAAACCATCCCCCGATCCACTGTAAACCCTACAGATATTCCCTAGTGGAACGGAAGACAGCCCGTCAGCGGATCCGGGAGTTCGAAGCTAATGGTTGGATCGAACCCGCCACTGGGCCATGGTCATTCCCTGTAGTATTAGTGCCGAAGAAGAATGGGTCGATTCACATTTGCATCGATTATTCGAAGCTAAATGATATCACGATCAAAGATGTGTATCCCCTTCCCCGGATTGATGATTTGTTGGATGCGATTGGGTGTGCAAATTATTTTAGTAAATTTGATATTCGTCACGGCTTCCATCACATTCTGGTTAAGGAGGAAGATCGACCGAAAACGGCCTTCGGATTATTTGAAGGCACGTGGCAGTGGGTCCGATGCCCAATGGGGATTTGCAATGCGCCTGCTACGTTTCAACGGGCTATGAATGTGACGTTTAAAAACTTCGTCAACAAGACACGGGTGACTCAAGGAATGATCAACTTCTGCATCATCGTTTACATGGACGACATCTTAGTGTGCTCGAAAACCTATCACGGGCATGCACAACATATGGAGTGGACGTTGGGAGATTTGGTGCGAGCACTACCTCACTCTTTCACTGTGCCTGGTCGAAAAGCAGTTGACGTGGACACGGGATAGTGAGCATCGTCCTGCGAGGGAGAGCGTGGCGCTGCTAATCATCCAGGCCTGGAGAACAGAGGTGGAAGGAGACCTCCTCGGTTTCGTCTTCCGAGCAGTAGAACCAGGCCATCGGCAGACGATCGTGTGGAAACTCACGGTCCCCTTTGCGCAACTGATCGACGACCTCCCCCTCAACATCATATCACGGTGTGACGAGAGCCCAGTACCGCACGTTCTTTCACGAAGATTAACACCATACTTGCAGTGGTCAGCCTGCCTAGAGGATCGAACGGGAGGTGGCAGCTACCCATCGTGCGCAGAGTACCTAAACCCCCGGGGGATCATCGACGTCCTCTTCTTTTCGCCCCGAACAGTGGTGGAAGAAAGAGCCGTGGCCGAGGAAGCGGAGGTGGAAGACGAAAGCGAGGAGGAAACCTCAGAGGAAGAAGCGAGCTACAGTGAATACAACGAGGAGGAATCGGGAGAAAAAGAAGAAGAAGAAGAAGAAGAAGAAGAAGAAGAAGAAGAAGAAGAAGAAGAAGAAGAAGAAGAAGAAGAAGAAGAAGAAAATGAGTTGGAGGAAGAGGGAGGCTCGGAGTGGAAGACTCTGGAAGAAGAGGCGGATCGTGCAGAGGCTCAAGAGGAAGATCTTGAGGCGGCAACACGACGGAGAGAGGAGATCACGGCCGGGAAGCAGCCAGTGGAGCACGCGAGTGGTGCGGATCTGCCGATCCTGAACGATCCGACCACGGATCCCGAACCGTCCAAGAACGGCGATGGGGACCCTACTGCCGAGACTTCGGGCGCACTGGCGCGGAGACGACAGAGCCGATCCCGATCCCCATCCCCCCGTACCCCAGTTCGAGCACGTATCGATGCGGGGCATCGGGCTTTGTCCCCGGTCGTTATCTCGTCGTCCCCTTGATCACCTCATCGTCCGCCAGATTACCATCCCGGTCTCTTTCCCCCACAACCCCTTCCCTACTGACACCTTCCGCCACTTCTATGCCACCTGCCTCGCTGTCACGGTACATCCGCATCCCTCTACTCGGTGCGCCACCCCTGTCTTTTGTCTCCATGTCCTCCTCAGTGCCACTTGGCGAGGCCACAACATGATCGAGGTTTATTGCATGATCACGGGGGCTATCCCTGCGTGTGAAAACCACGATCAGTCCGGATGGCCCTCCTTCGCACCTTCACAACCCTCTATTCTGACTACCTCGCGTCTCTCCCCCATAGTGGTACCCTCTTCCCGCGCTTCCATCGGATTGTCCGATATCAGGAGCTTCCAGTGACAGTCGCGGSAATGGAACGCTTTCTACCCCCACTCCCGACTAACCGGCCCCCTCAACACGCCCCCAGGTACCGCCTTCCCTTTCCTCTCCCTGCTCGCTACTGATGCGCGATTGTGTGGCACGTATCGCAAGGATGGTAGAGCAATCCCCTCCTCCAATAGATAGAGCCCTTCGTGGGAAACTTGTAGGATAGAGCCACATATGCCACACTGGATGACGTCCACACTCTTATCATACGGTAAGTGGCAACGAAGAGAGCTCCACGTGTTGATCGATAGAGAGATCGGCACATGTCGTAAAATCAAGCAAGCGGGAGCTTGCTTAGGATTGGAACCCCCTGGGCGTCACATATGTGACGAACCAATTTTTGTTCCGCGCGATCTTCTGCGTGGTAACAATGAGGGGTCCTAAGATGGGAAGGCTGGGCCAATTACGGGAGAACGAGATCGAAGGGAAAACTGCATTGGTGTCCTCGCTTCTTCGTTTTTCTACGTCGCCTTTTTTCGGATGAATGTGTTAAGGGCTGGGCAAGTCTCGGGATGGTCGATAGAGTGGCTGGCGCGCCGACAATAGCGCAATTAATAATGTTTGACGTCGCTTCTTTCTTGTTCTATTGTCGGGTTCTTGGCGCGGTGATTGCACGGGAAGTTTTGCTTCTTTTTTAATTTCTTTTTCGAATCTTGTCGAACCCTCGATGGCTCTCGGAATTTCGGACTTTCTTTTCAGGATTTGTGCTTTAGTAAAGTTCTTTTTGCATTTTTGCATAAACAGGACTTTAGGAATTTAGGAATTCAGGACTTCTTTTTGTCGCGCGGTGCTTTTTGCTCACGCGCTTCTTTTTGCGGCTGTGACGGAGCTGTGATTAGTCGGCGCCCTTAATCTTGCGTGTAACTGTAATTTTGGACAGGGCGCCCTTGAGCTTCGTCTTTCCCGCCCCCTCTCTTCTTTCCTTCGTCTAGTCGGCCCGCGGGCTGCATGATCGGATGGATGCGTGGAGAGTGGCTACGTCCCCCACGCCTCGATCTGGCCATGGAAAACGTAGGCACTCCCTCCCCTTCTCCCCTTCTTAGTCCTTGCAATTCCGTGTTCTTCGCGCATGCATGCACGCTATAAATTTCAGTTGCGCGATTAGATAACTCCTAAAACAGTTGCGGGAAGCTCGGGGTAGCTCGATCAGTGAGGGTCGGCTCACGGGCAAAGTAAGAGGTGAGTTGAAGTGGGAGTTGGGCGACCCGACGAGCTGGTGCCGAATGTGCGGGATTGACGCGTGGGGCTACGACGGATTGTAGTGCGCTGGCGAATCCGACGAGCACAGGAGGACTAAGCGGGGTGACAACTCCGTGGGTTGGTGCGTGATGACGGACTGTTCGCATCGGAGAGAGAGCAAGAGAGAGAGTTGAGATGGATGGACGTGGAGTTGCAATTTTCTTTGCCTTTCTCAATCTTGTATATAAGTTTTGATTACGGTGTGGGCAAGTCGCCCTAATTTCCTTTCGGCATCTCTGTCTCGATGTTGTCCCTCGTATGGTGTTTCATTCAGCCTCGATCCTTCCTCCCTTTTGTGTACAGTGGATGAACGAGTTCTGATGGAATGATATGCTTGCCGTTTTTGCCTAATCATCAGCGTTGCTGGTCATTTTGATCTGTTGATGTCATATTGTTGCGGTGGTTGATGTGTGCGATGTCACTTTGCATGATCGGAAATGATTGTTTGCGGGATTACAAAATGATTGTTGGGTGATTATCTATGCCATATGGAGATTTTGCATGTAGGATTGAACTCTCACTTTTGCACAAGAATCAGCCAACAGACCTGTGTACGACCAAACACCTCGTGTGTGCACGTGTAAGCACGATCTGATCAGCACGGCCTACAAGTGTCCCCACACGGGTGATTCGCGGCCACTAGCGAACTTGGCACTTCCAGTATCGTAATAAGTGTGGCATTTCCATTTTTGAGGATTTGGGCGAATAGGAATTTCTGCCACCACACCCGGAAATTTCCTTGTCGAACGAAGCACGATCAGATACGTGCGCTGAAAAGACAAGATGTCGTACATCGCGGACCGGGAGTACTTAGAACACTGGGAGGACGAATATCTTAGGCTGAGATACGCAGAATTCCCCTGTCTAACCGATTACCGACTGTGCGTCAGGGACTTTCACCGTGGCGAGGGCTCCCGACTACCCGACTACGTATAACACGCAATATTTCATATCCCCCGGCTTCGTCGTTATCGCCACCAAGATCCCTCCCTTCCACGTCCTCCTCCCATGGTTCCGTGGAACTCTATAGCCCCGTATTGGCCCCACACGTCGTGCAGAAATTGCAGACGATGTGGCAACCGTCGAGCCTCTGGAATTACGGAACCTAACCATAACACGCAACGACAATCGCCATGTGCCCCCACCCGGAGGTCCGACCCATAAAAATCGCAACCTTCATGGACGGGCCTCTCCCGAACCGCCGCCACTGAAACTGACGGATCGGACAACCCCGGATGCACCGAGCATGCCATCTGCCTTATGTTGCACGACATCGACCGCCATCAGACCAAAAGTTACCCGTCCTTTAGCCTTATTGCACCTATGCCCCTGAACCCCTGCCACAGGAGATCTCAGTTCTGACCTGGGATTCCACCCCCACTTTCCCAAAAATCATTGGCACACCCCTTTTCGCACTTCCAGGCCCACATCCCACTCCGATCAGGAAGTCGCGCTGGACGTGAGGTTGGGCGTCACACCCTTCCGTGTCATTTGCTTGTGCACCTTGTACTCTGGTTGCCTTGTTGCTATTGCCCTATACTTAATCGCATGGTGGCTGTGCTGCTCGCCCGATTGCCCTGTCGTCCCTTGCAGTGTGGTTGCCTTGGTGGCGCTGCCATGTGCTTCACTGCATGGTTGCGACGCTATGTGTCTTCCGTGTCGAGCTGTTCCTTGCAGTAGTTTTTGGCAGTGTGCAACAGTGTTGCCACTACTGCGTTGCCTGGTGCTCTGCAGGGTTTCTGCCCGCTGTATGTTTTGCTTGGGGACAGTCTGCCTTCAACATCGATCAAAGGGTTCATGAACCAAACCATCAAATACGAAGATTCTGCAGATTGTCGAGGGTTCAGCCTCTTGATGAGTCGGTGCAACTTCGAGGAAACAATCTATCATCATTTTTTTCTATTTTTTCTTTGTATTTGTTTGGGACTTGTTGCAATAAACTCTATCCAAATCCGCATAGCCGATGACTACGGGTCGTCACTTTTGGTCGAAGGCATGAAAAGGGGTTCAAAAGCCATGCCTCAAGTCTAAGAAAAGTCTGGGCAAAGGCCTAAGGTCAAAGGGTTCCTAGGGTGGGGCCAAAAACAACATCCAAAGGCCCCACGCGTGGTAGTTGACACTTCGAAAATCAAGAGTCGGACCAATCACGGGAGAGGCATGCCCAAAGTGAAAATCATCCCGCTGGTCAGCCATGACCGTCACATACCTGCGTAGATGTAGACTAGGTGATGAGGATTAGCGAGGGGGAGGAGAATCAGGGTTGTGCGATTGAAGGGAGATGTGGGGAACATTACCCGGATTTACCTGACGATGACAAGAGTGATATGTTGTTGTCTCCATGAAGATGAGAAAGTGTTGCCTTATCCTCCATATCTGATTGCTGACGTGGAGGAAGGATGAGTGTCCTATTATGATCTGCAAAAAAAATTGTCAGGAACATGCATTGTTGAGGTGGCGATAGAGGAGAAGTCTGAAGTGGAGGTGGGAGAGAAAGAAAAATATATGTGTACTATTGATTATCATCGTGACTCTCTTCCTCTTCTCTATCTTTCTTTCCTCTCTCTCTCCTCTAATGCTTTTCTTTGATGAAACGACTCTCTTGAGTTGTGCAAGTGATCGAGACATGGACATGTGTTTGAGGTTGGACACTTCGTGAGATGCGTTGGGTTTAGACTTCCACATGTGGTCAACGATACTCTGAATCTTCGCTGAAACTAATTCTGAAGTGGAGATCCTTCAGTATTTTTGAAGTTTTCTGAAGTCGTGTTTCAACAATTTCAAAAGTGTTGAAAATGTCAAATGCCCTTACGCGATATATCCCCCACGGCCACGGCCGCAGGGTCCAATGGTTGCAGCGGCCACGTTTGTGGCCGCGACCGTGGTGGCCGCCCCAATTCCGAGGCCGTGATTTTCATGAATTTTTCTTGGGCGAAATAAAATGTAAAAAAAAAATAAAAAAAAATGGGGTTGTAGGGTTTTTCGAAGCCTACAACCCCATATTTGTTTTTCTCTAAATCACATATTTTCTGGTGTTAAAAAAATAAAAAATCGAAAACTGCAAAAAAAACTAGGTGACCGGGCCGGACGTCCGACCTACCGCAAAAAAAAAAAAAAAAAAAAAAAAAAAACTATTTTTTTTTTTTTTTGAAAAAAAACATATGGCTTTCTACTTCCATAAGGTGTATGCCACCAAATTTTTGGCTCATTTGGGCCCGTATAACAAATAATAAAAATCTTCAAAGATTCTAATCCCCACCTATACCCCTCCTATCCCCACCAAAACTCCTCGTACCCCCCCCGCCCTACCCCAAATACCACACTATCACCAAATGCTCAGAAACATCTGAAAATTTTGTGGGGGGTCTCTAGGCCAGTGGCGGCTACCAATCAATCAATCAAT